TTGGGCCTGGGTGTGTTTTTATTTTATTTTTAAAAATATATATATATTTTATTGATTTTTTTTACAGAGAGGAAGGGAGAGGGATAGAGAGTTAGAAACATCGATCAGCTGCCTTCTGCACACCTCCCACCGGGGATGTGTGCAAGCAAGGTACATGCCCTTGACAGGAATCGAACCTGGGACCCGTCAGTCCCCAGGTCAATGCTTTTATCCACTGAGCCAAACCGGTCAGGGCTGGGTGTGTTTTTAAACCAATGCTTCCCAAACCAACCAGGGACCCCACCCCTGGGGACCCAGCACATCTGGCTGTATGGTGCTGGGCGGGGCCTGAGCATCTGCCTGTCTGCCCAGCTTCCTTTTACTGCTGGTCCTCGGACCACACTTAGAGTCTCGAGGGACTAGAAGACGTGAATTGTGATCCCAGCTCCGAGGTGAGCCCCCTGTGGCCCCTTAGGCCAGTCTCCTGCCCTCCCTGAGCCTCAGTGTCTTTCCCTGGCCAATGGGGGCATTGCCTTCCTCCTGGAACATTCTCCAAAGAATTAAAAATGGGAGCAAAGTTATCATTCTTTGTGTACAAGCCAGAAAGCCACAGACAACTTTGGGGGTGAGGGTGTCCCCCCCCAAAACTCCCAGGAGCCTCTGGGCAGGTGCTGGGGGAAGCGGGGGGCGGGGAGAGGGGGGACCTGGCACAAAATGGGGAAGGAGGAGGCCAGAGGTGGCTGGGCCCGGGAGAGGTGGCTGGGAGGCCCCCGTCCATCACGGAAATGGCCCATTTGCGATGATCGGTGGCCCAGGTGTTAATAACGCTAATGGCAGAGGAAGGGTAAACCGGCCACTTGGCTGAACAGGAGAAATATGCAGAGGAGAGCGCGGGCCCCCATAAATCAGCCGTGGGCAGCGCTGCGAGGGAGGCAGGACTTAAAATTCCGGTCAGGAGACGGGTCCTCTCATAATCCGAGCCGGAGAGGTAATTTATTCTGTTTATATCTCTTTACTGCACAGCGAGGCTGGGAGCAGGAGCCCTCTGCCGCCATTCTGCATCTTAAATATTAGTCCTGAGCACCGGGGCCCGGTGTTTATTTCGGGATGGGGGGATAGGCATGGGCCCGGGGGCGGGGGGCGGGGAGAGCAGGCATGACGGGCCGGAACACATGTGGTCTCACTGTCCGGTGCTGTCCACAATGATGGCCTGGGGTCCCCTTTCCCCACGCTGAGGGCGCGGCCGGGGCTGGCTCACCTCCTTATCTGCGTGCTCCCAAGTATTTTCCCCCCTCAGAAACCTCTTATTTCTAAATGATAATAAACACCATGATGGAGTGATAGAAAGAGACTGGAGGAGGAAGGGACGAGGTGGGAGGGAGAGAGAGAGAAACAAGGGCAAGCACGGAGAAGCCAAGCCCTCGTGTCTTTTGACCTTGGCAGTTTTCTTTAAAAAAAATAAAAAAAATAAAAAAAAAAATATATTATATATATATATATATATATATATATATATATATATATATATATATATATTAGATTTTTTTACAGAGAGGAAGGGAGAGAGATAGAGAGCTAGAAACATTGATGAGAGAGAAACATCCATCAGCCGCCTTCTGCACACCCCCACTAGGGACGCACCCGCAACTAAGGCACATGCCCTTGACTGGAATTGAACCCAGGACCCCTCAGTCCTTAGGCTGACGCTCTATCCACTGAGCCAAACCAGTTTCGGCTGACCTTGGCTGTTTTCAACAGTGCCCGGCCCTTCTGGCTGGCTGTGTTCAACCCGGGAAGGACGGACGGACGAATGGACGGACGGCGTGCTGAACAGCACCCAGGGAGGATGCGGCGGGGAGACTCTGCGTTCCATAGACGCTCATTTCTTTCAGACTGAAGCATTCATTCATTCACTCACTCACTCACTCACTCACTCATCTAGGTAGTTACTGGATCCAGAGTGAGGCTTTGCCCGGGCCAGGCTGTGCCTCGGGTTCAGGGGAAACGTGGCTTCCGGAAGCAGATGTTGCTGATTGGAAACCTGGCGCTGCTTCTCCCTAGCTCTCTGACCGTGGGCAGCTCACATCACTTCCCGGGCCTCAGTCTCCTCATCTGTAAAATGGGAGCGACAGCACTCATCCTGAAGGGGTGCCGTGAGGACTGGACCAGGCTCTGGACAAGGCAGTGGGGCAGTGGTCCTGCAAGTTCGGAGGAAGAATCAGGAGTTTGACACAGGAGAAGCACCCTGGCACAGCCCCCCGCCCCCGAGGGGGACTCCAGCCCTGGGTGCAGGCCCAGGCGCGGGGTATGTATGCTGCACAAGCATCGTCCTCTGGTCACACTGAGGAGGTGGCAGTGGGTGTCCAGGGACAAAGGTCCCTTCCCGAGGCTGCCCCTTCTCCATGCCGCCTTCCTTGGGAACTGCCTCCCTGATGCTCAGGGGCCTGATCGTGACCGTGACCTGGACCGGGACTGCAGGGCCCGGCACAGGGTGGGACGGGGTGGGTTTCTCCGCCCTGAGCCCTGGGCCCAGGAGGCACTGGGGAAGGTGAAATGAGCCCATAGGGGGAGTTAGTCCCACGCACAGACTGTGACCCCATAGATGAGCATCCTTCTGAAGCCTGGTCCCTGGGGCCACCCTCTGGGAACTGATGCCCCCAAGTGTCCCCTGACACGAGAGAGAGAACTTTCCCTTTTACTTCCCTCGGGCTGACGCTGTGGGTATGCGGCAGGCACCTGAAGACCCTGTGTGCGTGTGCATGCGTGCGTTTGCGTGGTATGTGTGTGGTGTGCGTGTGTGCACGCGTGTGCATGTGCATGTGCATGTGCATGTGCATGTGCATGTGTGTGTGTATGTGTGTATGATCTCTCATTTTAAAATTAAGAAGAAGAGGAGAGAAAAAAGTCTGGGAGGAGATGCAATGGCTACATCCTCCTGTGTTTGAGATCCGGGGTGACTCCATGCGCTTCCTGTTGTGTGTCTGACACGTCTAAGTTTCCCACAACAAGCCGTTGCCGGTGTCAGGTAGAGACAAAGGCGAGAAAAGGAAGGAGGGAGAAAGCCAGCCGCCGGGCCTTGCTCCTGGGGAGCCCGCGGGGAGGAACAGCAGGCGCAGGGCCTCAGCACGCACGCACCCCATGGGGCCCATGTCTCCCCGACTCCCCACCCCCTTCCCTTCCCGCCACCCTAAATGGGCGAGATCCCCACCCCAAGCTCGGGTGGGAAGGTCCAAATGCAGGGCACTCGCCCGTTTATCTTTATCTCCTCCGTCAGCAGAGTCTGAAGTTGGCCGGGGACGTAAGGGGCACCCTTTCCGATCTCTTTGTAAGTGGGGGGTAGGGGGTGAGGCGGAGAAGGGGGGGCTTGTCTTGAGGATGTGGCCTCAGGTCTCCTAAACCTCCAGGGCTCTTTCCCAGAGGCCCATTTACCCAGGGGACACAGCTCGCACTGCGCTGCTTTGGGATGGCAGAGCACAAGGGGGGAGGGGGGCATCTGTCCTAATACAGCCTTGCAGGTAACAAGGTGGGCTTACCAGCCTGGTGCTGTTTGTTTGTTTGTTTGTGTTGGCACCTGGAATCGAAGGGGGCACCATTAGGATGGAAGCCAGAGTGTTTTTGACATCCTGGGACAAACAACCCAGACATCCATTCATTCATCCACATTGCTAAGGCTTCCGAAACCGGTTTGGCTCAGTGGATAGAGCCTCGGCTTGCGGACTGAAAGGTCCCAGGTTCGATTCCAGTCAAGGGCATGTACCTTGGTTGTGGGGCACATCCCCCGTGGGGGATGTGCAGGAGGCAGCTGATCGATGTTTTTCTCTCATCGATGTTTCTAACTCTCTATCCCTCTCCCTTCCTCTTTGTAAAAAAAACACACAAAACAATAAAATATATATTAAAAAAACATAGCTAAGGCTTACTGCGTGCCGAGCGGGTCTGTGTGAGATGGGGTATCACATCAGCACCCGGAGATACCCAGCCAGTGCAAGCAGCCGTAAAACGCAACAACAAAAAAGCAGCTGCTCTCATTTCCTCACCGTTACCCCAAAACTCCTCACGTAGACAGGGAGATGTCCTCGGACCCGCCGAGTCTGCATGCTGTCAGAAACAAGAGCCATAAAAGAATAACTCCATTTATTCTGAGTGACTATAAAGACAGAACGAAACAATAATAAAGGAAAAAAGAAAAAGAAAACCACATAGCACGAGGGCAAAAAAGAATTTTTATTAATATTTCTTTTTAGAAAAGTTGATTTTTTTAATGTGTTTTATTATTTTTTAGGTAAACCTCTTTCTGCTTCCCCTCCCTCACTCGGCCCACCCTCCTCTCAAAAATATAAAAATGTCCAATCGCAGGTAACTAGAGTACAATAAATAAACAGTAAACACAAAAACATACTTTATTTGTTTCTTCTTTATACAAAATAAGGAAACTAGAAGCGTCCAACTTCCAAAAAAGTATAATACTGTACATCCTGACGACCCAGCCTCCAGGCCCCAGGCAGGGCTGGGGGAAGAGGGGGTTCTGTGGGACGGAGCCTAGACATCTTAGCGCCTTGCCCACGGGGAGAGCAGGGTGGGCGAGTGTTCGAGTCTGGCCTGGACCCTGGGGCTCAACATAACCATCCAGGAAGGAGGAGGGGAAAGCGGGGAGTCTGCTCAGACCGCGCCCCACCTTCCTGGAAAAGCTGACCTTGGTCCTCAAATCGGGCCACCAGGGGGCGCTGACGCGCAGGCGGACTCGTCTTCCAGCGACGCCCCGGGTCCGGCGCGGTCCTCCCTCTCTCTCTCATCCTCCCTCCCCAGCGGGCGCGCGCTCTCCATCCCTCTCTCCTCTTTCTCTCTCCCTCCAATCTCTCCCCCCTTTCCTTACCGTCTTGTTGGAAAGACGGGGAAAGCAGAGTGAGACATAAGATGGCAAAAATGCTGCTCGGATGGCAGAGGGAGGGACCGGCCTCCGCCCCCTCTGGGTCCATGGAGGTGGGGGTGAGGCCGAGTGCAGAGCGCGCTGCGGGCCTCCTGACCCTCTTGCAGGGCTGACTTTGGTCCCGGGAAATGGCTCGTGGAGGCTGCCGGGAGAGCGATGGCGGAGGATGGGGTCCCGGTGGCGACGGGGGCGGCCCCCTCCGCGCCCCGCCGAGCGGCTGCAGCTGCGCGTCGAATGCGGACCCGGGAGAGCACCCCCGAGGGAGCCTCCAGGGGGCGTTTTGGTTTCCGGGGACGCTGCGTCCATCCGTCCGTCCGCCCGGGGCGGGGGCGGCCCGTTCCCGGCGGCCTTACCACACGGCGGCGGCCTCGTTGAGCTCGGGGTTGGGGTGCGCGAGGGCCCCGCTGTAGCCGCCGGCGCCGCCCAGGGGGAAGGGCGGGCTGGGGCCCCCGCCGAACACCTCGCCCGGCAGCGGGTGCAGCGCGCCCGGCAGCCCCGGCTCGGGGCTCGGCGTGTCCGGGTGCGAGATCATGTCGGTGAAGCGGGGGTTGTCGGCGGCGGCGTGCGGCGCGGCCAGCGGCGGCTCCAGCGCGCCCAGCGGCGTGGGGCCGGGCCCGGCGGCCAGGAAGCCGGGGTCGGCGGGGGACTGCGCCTGCGAGGGCGGCCCTGCCGCGAAGAAGTCGTAGTTGCCTCCGGGCGCGTAGTAGTCGCCTTGGTAGTCTGCGGGGGGAGAGACAGGCCGTGAGAGGGGCGGGGGGGGGGGGGACCGGGGACCGGGGTTCGGGGACGGTGACCAGAGTTCGGGGACCGGCGATCGGGGACCGGGATTAGGAGACCAGGGACTGTGGTTCGGGGATCGAGGTTAGGGGACCGGGGTTTGGGGACTGGGGGCCGGGGACAGGGGTTCAGGGGCCGGGACCGGGGACGGGGGACCAGGGATCGGGGTTCGGGGACCGGGGTTAGGGGGCCGGGGACCGGGGTTCGGGGATCGGGGTTAGGGACCGGGGTTCGGGGACGGGGAGCCTACGGCCAGAGGCGGGCAGGCGTGTGTGGGGGCGCCGGGAGAGGATATTAACGGGGGTTTGGAGGCGCGCGCGGAGACAGAGGGAGAGGTCGGCCCAAAGCGGCGCGGGCGCGGGGCCCAGGGGTCCTGTTGGGGAGAGAGACACGGAGACACCGAGAGGGAGGGAGAGACGGGCGATGAGAGACAGTGGAGCCGCTGCAGAGACGCGAAGGGAGGCGGGAGGGATGCGACTTGAGCCCCCAGGTCCCAGGCAGGTGGCCGGCCGCGGTGGCCGCGGAGAGGGGCTCGGAGCCGGGGAGAGATGCAGAGAGCGGGGACAGGGACCAGCAGAAGACGGACAGGCGGACAGAGGGACAGGGGACGGGAGAGGGGCCTGCGAATCCCCAAGTCAGAGACCGCGAGGCGGCGCGCCGGGAGGTGGGAGGGCGAGTGGGACGGGCTGTCCAGGAGGGAAACGCGAGGCCGCGGCTCGAGGCGCCCAGGAGCCAGGCGGAAGGTCCGGAAGGACCGGAGGACAGAGGGCGGTGCGGTGAGGCAGAGAGGAGGCCAGAGACGGAGCGGAGCGCCGGGGAGGAGCGGGGCGGGTGCGGAGACCAGACCGGAGCGCACAGCGGGCCGGAGGAGCCTTGGCCGGGGCGCGGCGGGGCGGGGCGGGGGGACCCCTGGGCCCCGCGCCCGCGCCGCTTTGGGCCGACCTCTCCCTCTGTCTCCGCGCGCGCCTCCAAACCCCCGTTAATATCCTCTCCCGGCGCCCCCACACACGCCTGCCCGCCTCTGGCCGGGGCGCGGAGGGCCGGGGGGCTGGGCCGGGGCGCGGAGGGCTGGGGGGCTGGGCCGGGGGTGCGGAGGGGCGGGGCCCTGGGCCGGGTTGCGGAGGGGCAGAGGGGCTGGGCTGGGGATGCGGAAACCCGGGTGCAGGAGCGCCAGGCGGGCTCCGCGCCCCGTCCTCCAGCTCTGCGCCCGCCGCCTGGCACCCAGACAGCGGGCACAGCGCCCTGGGAGACGGGGCGGACTCGGGGTTCCGTGGGCTCCCCAGCCTCACTCCTCAGGGCGGCCGGGACCCCAGCGTCTGACGCGTTTGGGAACAGGGAGCCCTTCTGAGAACCGGGTGACAGTTTGGGGTTCTCTCTCCAGAAAGAGGCGCACGTGTGCGTTCTGCCCACAGTCAGGAAACACGGGGACTCCGGGTCACAGCCTGCCCATTCCCAACGAAGTCTCTCAAAGCCTCTCCTCCAGATTTATCCAGAGCCTGTTCCCACCCCCAGGCCAGCCCCTGAGGGAATGAGGTGTGGAACCCCACAAAGGGAGCGCCTGCAGCCCCGCCCCGGCGACAATAACCCGCTTTGTGCGGCGGGAAAACCGGGGCTCCGGGGGCCAGAGTCTCCCCTGCAAACGCACACACCTGCTCAGTCTCGGGGTCTCAGTCCCCGGCGAGCTCCGGAGGCTCCCTGCCCCCCCTCCCCTCTCCAAACCCCGAAACCAGTCCAAGCGGAGGTGTCTGGACCGGAGGCGAGGCTTGGGGATGGTCCACAACAGCCAAAACGCTCGCCAATTAATTACTTTTTTTTTTTTTTAAAGGAAGCACTCATTCTATTCTCCCGAAACTGAAGCGGAAGGTTGGAAGCGAATGTGGGGTCCCTCAGGGGCAGGAATGGGGAGCGGCAGGGGCCCCGCTGCGCGCGGCCGGCCTGCGCGGGCCGGGCCGCGTCGGAGCGCGCCGCCCCCGCCCATATGGCGGCCAGGCGGCGGTAATTGGCACAAACGCCTCTGAAAGGGGCACAAAGGCCGCAGCTGGGGCTTTGTCCGCGCTCCCACGGGGCGCCGCCGCCCGCGCCTTTCTCCCCGCCGCCGCCGCCGCCGCCGCCGGGATCTCCCAGTGCGGATTAGGCGGGGCTGCTTCGCCGGGGATCGGGGGTCCGGCGCCCCCATTCCCGGGAAGAGGGGCCCGGGTGTCCAGGCCCGACCCCAGCCAGCAGACGCGCGGTTAAAGGAGGCGGCAGGGAACCCTTGGTTAATGGCCCAGACAGGGAACATTCCGGACTGGGTACCGCCCCACCACCTCCGAGCGCAGCCGCTGAGATTTTGTGCCGAAGGAAGCCAAGTTAGATGGAGAGGTCCCCATCCAGGCCGTCCTGAGCGTCTGCAGCCGCTCCCCCGCTCCCCCCAAAACAACAACAACAACAACAACAACAACAAAAACCTGGGCCCTGCCATCGCAGAGTCTCTCCCCTAAAAGCAAAGCCACGAATTCTGTCCACGGTTTCTGGGGACCCTGGCCAGACGGGAAGGTCTGATGTCCGGGCCTGAGGATGTGCCAAAAATGTGTCCTCTTTCCCCGGGGCCGCCTGGGGCTGGGCTCCTGGCTCTCGCCTTCTGCTGCCACCCAAACCCCCTTTTCTAAGAGGAGTCGCCTCTCCCCAAACTGAGCTGCTAGCTCGCCAACCCCCCGCAGGCCTGTGATCCTGAGCCGCTCAGAGTGGAGACCCATCAGGCACAAGCCCTCCTGGGGCTCCCCACATTCAGAGACCAGAACAGCGGGGGGGGGGGGGCGGTTTGGGAGGTGGAGGATGGTAGTAAGCTTGTGCTAAAATGCCCCGGAGTCTCCAAAGCCTGGGCTGGGAGCTGGGATGGGTCTCCCGGGAGCAAGTACAGGAACAACGGAGGGGAGGAGAGAAAGAACGGGATGGAGGAGAGGGGGGGAAGGAGGAAGAGGAGGGGTGACCAAGAGCCATGTTCACCCAGCACTGAGCCTGGTAACATCCGCCACAGAACCGCTCTTCACGAACTCCTGCTACTCGCCCCCAGGCCCCCAAGACTGAGAGCTGGCACCTGGGTTGGCCCAGTCCCCGAGCCCCCAAATGCCGTTAAACACAGGTGTCCTGCCCAGAGCAGCTGCCTGTATGAGGGCTACAGGTGCCAGAGGCGGCGAGCACAGGCCCTTGGCTGCCGAACCCCAGTCAAGACATTGGGAGCTGGAGAGCAGGCTTCGGGATGAATCCTGATCCCCGCATCCCACGGCTGGCCCACTGCCCTCCAGTGCCGAGTTCCTGCGGGCGCCAAGTACCCCAGGCTCCAGGGGGGTGTGGGGGACAGGAAGGAGGCTGTGCATCCGGGTGGGGCCGGGGGCATGAGGATTTGTAAGTGTCCGGCTTGGTCTGCCGGTGGACGTGTGTGAGCCTGGATTTCCCAGGTGTGTCTGTCAGTAAGTGTGTCTGGGGTGGGGTGTACTGTGTGTGTAGTCATGTGTCCCCGAGGTCTCTGAACTCCAGTGTGTGTGTGCGCGAGGGAGTGTGTCCCGTGTGTGCGTGTGCGTGTGTGTACTGCTGTACGGGTGAGTGAACCGCGTGCCCGATTTCACATCCAGGAAGTATCTGTGGGTGAGTGTGTATGTGTTGATGTGTGTCTGGTACAGTGTGTCCGTTAGGGTCCTGCATGATAGAAGTTGGGGGGCGGGGGTCCCTGGTTGCAGCCCAGAGCGGTAGGATCGGCCATAAGCTCAGCCTCTGGTGTAGGGCAAAGCTCTCAGGGGTCTCTTACCTCCATAGTAAGTGTATGGAGTGGACCCCAACATTTCAGACTCGTCCAAGCGGCCCCCCAGGGGACGCATGCGCCTCGGACTCCGAAAGAAGGCGTGTCTCCGGGCGCCCAGCGCGCTCAGCTGTTTCATCCTGCGCTCTTTGGACCGCCGGTTCTGGAACCACACCTGGGGCAGAGGAGGGGGCAGTGAGCCTGGTGGCTGGCATCCTCTCCTGGCCCTGGGCCGCCCCTACTGGGTCCTAGCGCCTCCTGCCTCCAAAACTGCCCTGAGGTGGGGGACGGGGCGGGGGGGGGGGGGCGGATTAGGCCGGAGGGGTGGAGAGGGGCCTCGGTGAACCAGCCAAGGGTGAAGGATTTGGCGGACCCTTGGGGCGACTCATAAAGACTCAGGCTTCCCGGTCCTCACCCGCCCGCGGCCTGACAGCTTTATAAAAGCCTCCCACCCCGCCTGGCTCTGCTCTGGGCCTCCGGCCCCCAGTCGGACTCCGGCCGTCGGTCTGTCTGCCTGCCCCGGCTTTGGCGCAGGGAGGCCCTGGAGGAATATCAGCCCCTCCTCTGCTCCGTAGGGGAGAGGAAGGGAAGCTTAACACCTTCCTAGAAAGGCGGGGCGGGGGTGAGGTGCCTGATGACTCTGGCTGCGGGTTCGACCCACTGGCCCGGCCCGAAGCGCTCCGCTGGCCGCTGGACCGGAGCCCGGCGTGGGAGTGGGGCGCGCGGCTCCCCTGGGCCTCCCAGCGCCCGGCGGGGGAGGCGGGAGGGGGCCCCGGCCGGGCCGCACCTGGATGACACGCATGTTGAGGCCGGTCTCCTGCGCCAGCTGCTCCCGGATGTGGCGCGTGGGCTTGGGCGTGGCGGCGAAGGCGGCCTTGAGCGTCTCCAGCTGCTTGGCCTTGATGGTGGTGCGCGGGCCGCGCCGCTTGGTGCCCGAGTTCTGCTCCTCGTTCTCGTTGTTGGCCGTCTCCTTGTCCGACGACGTCGAGTTGTCCGTCTCCTTGGGGTCGTCCTGCAGCGGGTCCTGGAGGTCCGGGGACAAACTGCGGTCCGTACAGGATGACACTGCGGCGGAGGAGGGAGGGCGAAGGGGGCAGCGGCGTGAACGGGCTGTCCCGAGGCCGCCCCCACCGGGAGCCGGTTCCAGCCAGCCGGCCGGCGGAGACCACCGCCTGCCCCGCGGGGTCCGCTCCCAAACCCTGCTACGGCCCCTCCCCCAGGCCCGGGCCCGCCCCCTCCGTCCAGGGGGGCCGGGCCTTTGGGGGGACCGCTCTCCAGCCTTCTCCGCGCTTCCTGCCTAGCGCTGGGGGCGGGGGCTGCGCGCGCTCCGGAGAGGGGTCTGGGGGAGGGTCCGGGTGCGCTCCGGGCCTCAGATCTCAGCTTCCCGCTCCCGCCTCGCCTTCCGATTGGAGTCCTCCTCCGGGTGCGGGGAGAAGCGAGCAGGAGCCCAAAGGGAGCGGAAGGGAATGGCGCAGCTCCAGATGGGGAAGGTGGCGCCGGGAAAAGGCTCCCGAATGGGAGGCGGGGAGGGGAAGGGCTGGGGGTGTCCAGTCGGCCTGGCTTCTATTCTCTGTCCTACCCCGGCGCCCGGCCGCCTCCCCCAGAGCCGCCTGCGGGGTGGCCGGGAGCGGGGTGCCTGCCCCGCGCGGGCCGGGAGCTCTGGGGAGCCGCGGAGAGCGCCGGGCAGGCGGCGCCGGCGGGAGAGGAGGGAGGCCCTACCTGAGTTGAGGCTGCCCTCCTTGAGGCTGGGCGAGCTCAGGTAGTCGTCCTTGCACACGAACTTGTTCTCGTCGATGACGTAGAGCTCCTCGCCGGTGGACAGCTGCTTGTTGCACACCATGCAGGTGAAGCAGTTGAGGTGGAAGACTTTGCTGCGGGCCTTGCGCACCAGGTCGCTGGGCGAGATGCCCTGCGCGCAGCCCGCGCACTTGGTGCCGAAGCGCCTGCCGAGGACACAGCACAGCCCGTCACCGGGCAGCCAGAGGCCCCGTCCTCGCCAGCCCCGACCCCTTCCCTCCCTCCTGGCTTCTGAGAAGCTCCATTCCTTCCCTGTCCGATGAGACCTCGCCGGCCACTCTGCTCCCTGGCTGAGCACAAGGAGACCAATGTCCCCCGGCTGCTCTTGGGCTGGGACCGCCATGTCTTGCTCAGGTTTATTTGGATTCCACCCGGCTTAGAGCAATGGGCATAGCCTTCAGCCAAGCGGAAGGCCCAGAGCACACCCCAAGCTGCTCCCTGTCCCCCCACATTCACCTGGGATGCTCTGGGCAAACCCTCCTCTCCAGGCTGGAAAGGCGTTTGAGCCAGGCGGGCAGGGTTTGGACCCCTCGTTGGCTGTGCCTCCTGGACCCTTGGGCCTGGCTGGCGGTTGCTAGCCTTTGGCGGGAGATAGCCGGTGGCTGTGAGCCTTCTCCTGAGCGGGACCCAGGCTGAGAGGAGGGAGCCTTCTGCCCACTGCAGGCACCGCCAGCGCCTGGGGCTTCCCGGTGCCCGCTGTGGGGTGCAGCGCAGCTAGTGGGGGGGGGAGCAGTGGACCCCAAGAAGCAGGGACTGAGATTCCAGGCTCCCCCCCCCAACATCTCTGGCCCTGGTAAGCAGCAGAGAAATGTAGGCAATCCAACAACTACCTGGCCAGCATGGGGGGTTGCTCAAACTCCGCCCCCCCTTCACCCCTAGGGCCTGGTCTAAATCCTTTTCTTGATCAGGGAAGCAGGCCAGTCTCCTCCGAGCGGGAGAGGTGGGGCTGGGGAGGGAGAGGGCGGGACGGTGGGCCCCGCACCTGCTCACACCCAGGTCTCCGAACAGTGAATTTGGGTGACGTTGATGTAGTGGGGGCATTAGAAGCCATAAGTCACTGGTGGCCTTATCCGGCCGCGTAATTGGCCATATGCACCTTATCAAAAATCATTAGGTGCCTTGTAAGCCTTGCCACATTAGGGCCACGGCTCCCCAGGCCGGGAGTTTACACGTGTAAAGGCGAGGCTGACATTTTCTCTGGTTCAGATTCCCCAGGCCGAGCAGCTGGGGTGGGGGGGCAGGCTCGCTTTTCCCTGTCCCTCACGCCCCCTTCCCTGGGCCGGCATTCGCACTCACAAAGCTGCTCTCCAGGGCGGGAGGAAGCAGGCAGGGCTGAGCTGCTGCAAATCCCACTGCCTTCCAGGCCACCCCTGGGCACTTCCCAGCTGGGGAAACTGAGGCCAGAGCAGGGACCATCCCTAGCCTGCCCGAGGGCCCCTGTGGGCAGCAAGGGGAGGGAGGTGGCGTGGGGAGGGAGGTGGCGTGGCCCAGGCAAGACCCCAGAGGTCCAGATTCTCAGCTTGGATTTCTTGGGTACTTTTCAACGTGGGAGGAAATATTTACGGAGTTGGGGTGAGGGGATGAGGAGGTACAGGGTCCCTCCCCCCAACATCAGAGGGAACCCTCCTGGCGGAGCCCCAGGGCACTGGGAGGCTGGTGTCTGTCCAGGAGGGTCCTGGGCCGGCTGCCTGCCCGCCCGGAGGACAGCCCCTTGGCCAATGCAGTCTGCCTGGTGGGGGAAGCCTCCAGCCACCCCTAACTTTGCAAAAACCTTCCTCTCTCATACTCCGGGCTCCCACCCCGGAATTGCAGCTGCTGGAAGGGGTAGGGACAGGCAGCGAGTAAGTTGTCAGAGCTTCCTCCCCCAGGGAATCTCCGGTCCGAGCCCACCGGGAGGCAGCTTCCGTTTGGCTCCGCCCAGGCTCCGGCCCTTTCCTTGACCAAGGACAGGGGAGAGCGGTGGCCGGCCCCTTCTGAGCTGCAGAGCCCGGGAGGAGGCGGCGTCCCCGTCCCCAGGCCCCCGCGGCCGCGGGCCTCTCACCTGAAGAAGTCATTCTTGCAGTAGAGCTTGCCCTCGCGCGAGAAGCACTTCTCCGAGAGGTTGGTCTTGCACTCGCAGCACTGCACGCACTTGATGTGCCACGCGCGGTCCAGCACGTTCAGCAGGAAGCGGTCGAGGATGGGCCGCTCGCAGCCGGCACAGTGCACCATCATCGCCGCGCGCCCCGGCGGCTCCGGCCGCCTCGCCCTCCCCTGGGCCCCCGGCCCTCGGGCCCCCCGGCCCTCTGGCCCCCCGGCCCCGCAGCTGCGCTCCGCCTCTCCGCCTCTCCTCTCGGGCGAATGCCGGGCGAGGCTGGTCCGGACCAAGACTCAGCCGCCGGTCAAGTCCTTGGGTGATCGCCGGCCTGGCGCTGGGCCGCCCGGGGTGGGGAGGGCAGCGGCGGCGCTCACAGCCTCATGCCCGGGCCCCGTGCGCCCCGGCGCCGGTTCCGAGCTCCCCCCCAGGCGTCTCCGGTAGCCGCCGGCCTCGGCGCTGCGGAGCGGCTCTCCCGGGTGGCGGCGGAGGCGCCGGCACTTTCCCCCACTTTCAGGCGGTCCCGATCCTCATCTTTGTCTGGCCGCCGCCTAATTCGCGCATCCTTATTCAGATTTGGTGACGTGGCGCGGCGCGTAGGGGGCCCGCCGGCCAATGGGCGCGCGGTGGCCATAGCAACCTCTTAAATTTATAGCATATCTAAATTGGCTACAGCGTTGCGGTCCGGACAGAGCAAAAAAAACAAGGCATCCGTATTGTTGAGTATTAGCTTGTACCTGGTTCGGAGGCAGGCGAAGTGAGTATTTACCTTACAGTTGGGGGCTGGAGGCGGGGTGGGGGGGCGCGCGCGATCTGAACCTGCTTCTCCCTCCCTCTCTCCTCGCAAGTATTTGGGGGCCGGGATTCCTGGGCCTAGTGGGGGAAGGGACCTCTAGCCCCATTCGCCATCCCTGGAACTTGCAGAAGTTGCACGGGGTTGGAGCACGCTCTAATCCGCCTTCTCTTTCCCAGCCTGGCAGCCCGGATGGGAATCCCTCTCCCGGGCGCTTCCCCAGATCTGCGCCTCGGAGCTGCTTCAGCGCGGCTCACCGGGCTCCCAGCGCCCGCCGGCTTCTTTTGTCATACAAGGGGCTAAGGCCCAGGTGGCCTTTGGGGCTGGGGGGTGAGAGGGGGGAGAGGGAGAGAAAAAGGGAGAGAGGGAGGAGAGAGAGAGAGAGAGAGAGAGAGAGAGAGAGAGAGAGAGAGAGAGAGAGAGAGAGAGAGAGAATAAGAACGGAGGCCTTTGAGTTGGTGTATTTCCCCCCAAACAGGCCCAGGTTCAGGTTGTGGAGGGCAGGCCTGTCACCCGCCCGGTCAGAATCTCTGAATTTCAGGCCTGATGCCAACACCCATGGAGCTCCGGAGGAGAGGTGGGAGGAGAAGGTCAGGGTGAGGGGTCTTCCTTGAGCCAGCTCAGAGGTGGCGGTGGTCACGGGTCTCTCCTTTCCTCATTGCACCTTCAAGATCTGGGTCCAGCCGGTAGGGCACCACACCGCAAAGCAGGGAACGGGGAACGCTAGCGATGGGGCGGCTGCTGCTTGCACATGCAGAGATGGGTGTGCAAGTTCTGCCTCAAAGGACGCAGCAGGAGCGGCTGTGTGTGTGTGTGTGTGTGTGTGTGTGTGGAGGGGTGTTGGTGTGGGTCTGGGGGCAAAGAAGGAGGGATCAAGCCTCATTTTCCAAGGAGTCAACTCGGGGAAGGGCGCTCTGATTGAGGGAGGGCCCGGGGCTGCGGGGATTTTCCATCCCCGTCTGGAAAGCCGCTCCTCCAGCAGGGAAGGCCAGGCCTGGGCACGGGCGCTGGAACCTGGAGTTGTGTTTGCACCGAGACGGGACTTGGCAGTGTGTGAGGCCAGTTCACCCAGTTCCTCAGTGTGCATTTTGAGAATGGCATTTTTACCTGTTTAAGTCAGTAATCTGTCATGGGAGTACAGTTTGGTGTGTGTATTCTGTGTGCATCCGTGTGTGTGTGTGTGTGTGTGTGGTTATGCTAATGTTGTGTGTTATTCTGTGCACTCTTGGTTTTTTAGCCTTTGTATGTGTGTAGACGCTTACTTGCGGTCATGGGAATGTGAGGGTGTTTGCATATGAGCGTGCATTTGTGTAAGATTATTTGTGTACATTGTGCTCATGTCAACGTGAAAAGGGACTTTTAAAATCTGAGTGTGAGTGTGTGTGTGTGTGTGGTGTTTGTGCGTGTGTGACTGAGTTCGGACGGGGTGTGTGTGTAAGAGCAGAATTGTGTTGTGTGCCCCTCACTATGAGTATCACAGGTGTGAGTACTGGTTCATGTAGTAGTTTTTGTTTGTGAAACTCCTGTAGGTTTTGGGGGGCATATTTGTGTGCGTGTGCTCCTGACAGCATGTTACCTTTGTGGGTGTAGAGGGAGCAGGATATGGGGTGCCTGTGTTGGGGCAGTGCCTGTCCAGGCTTAGCGCGATCCCCAGGCTCCAGGGGAGGGAACCGGGCTGGGAACAGGGAGGGACAGATGCTGGTCACTGGGTGGGGTATTGACCCACAAAACATGTCTTTGAAGAGGAGGCCCCAAAACAGGCAGCCTCTGCCTGATGGTGCTGTTCTCCCACCCTCAGCCGGTTGGTGACAGGTGTCTACACAGCACAGCGGGCCTGGTCAGGCTCAGGTTGGATGGTCACTCAGGCCCAGGGGTAGGGTTCCAGGGGCCACAGTTTCCAGCAGTGGCTGGTCCTGCCTCCTGGGGTGCGAAAGATCCTTGAGAGAAACAAGAATGGAGAGGAGAAGGAAGGAGAGGGTTGGAGAGGGGAAGAGAGGAGAGGAGAGAGGAGGAGAAGAGAAGAGAGGAGAAAAGAGGAGAGGGGATAAGGGGAAAGGAGAGGAAAGGGGAAGAGAGGAGAGGAGAGGAGAGGAGAGGGGAAGAGAGAATAGGAGAGGCACCCAGGCTCACGTGGGGGCAAATTGCCCTGCTCCTCTGTCTTTGTCTCACCGAGTTTCCTCGCTCTCTCACATCTGTTTTCCTTTCTTCTGTGTTCAGCCTCTGTTCTTGTCCTGTTTCCCTTCCCCTCTGTGTCCATCACTTTGTTTCTCTATTTCTCTCTCTTGTTTTTATTCCCCTCCCTCTGCCTCTCTGCTGGGCATCCAAACCCAGCACCTGACTCATTGCTGCAATCTACCATCCCCATCCTGCACTGCACAGATTTTGGGGTGACGGAGGGAGGACACATACAGTCCTTAGAAGCCCCCATCTGATGGCCTCCGGACTAGGCACGCCGAGCCCACCTCGGCCCAGTCCCCCACCGAGTTAGGGCTGCCCGGTCCTCCCCACACCGGCTTTGTCCAGGCTGCTGGCGCTCAATGCCTGCGTGCCGGCTCCATCGCAGACAGACCCACCTGCCTGTGCCTCTGGGCTCCCCTACCTGCCAGCGCACAGCAGGTCCCAGCAGCTGTGGGCCGGGCCAGGAGGGGGTGGGGGACTGCAGGAGCAGGGAGCAGTCTCAGGGAGCAGCCCTGGGGCTCTCAGAGCCTGGATGTGGTGAGTCACCTGGGCTGGAAGTCAGAGGTGAGGCCTCTTCTTCCAGAAGTTCTGGCCTGGACTTCAGTGGCTGAATTTACCCATCTTGTCCAGGTCACAGCCCCCCCCCCCCCTCACCGGGGGTCCCTAGTACAGCCCAGCGCCAATCCAGACGCCCCACCGCCCCAGCCCAGCTGCAGGGGAGCCTGCTTGTCCTCGGCCAGCCCTCCCTCCACACCGCATCCAAAACAAAAAACAAAAAACACCTCAAACAAAACGCCCGCAGAACCAACTATGAGGCGAATGATCCCGCCCTCGCAGCGCTAACAGATGGCGGCCAGGCAGCGAAATCCCCTCCGATATGTAACTAATAAACCGCTTGTGTCTTAACAGGGTAATGCATGGAGATACAATGTCACTTACACAAGATGTTGATGGAATTTCCTATATAAAAGCCTCCTTCCTCCTAGAGGAAAGAGTATCAACATTACCGCTCGACAGACGGCGGCGGGGATAAGTAAAACAGACAAAAGACAAACATGATAATAATCTGTTTCCAATCACTTAAGCCCGGTAGCGTTCGTAATGTGCGGTTTGCATATTCCCCCCTTGGGTTGGGCAATTAATTACCGGCGGCGAGGAGGCACACACCTTCCAGGAGCGGGGGTTTGGGGGCGCGCTGAACCGGGGTTTGGGGGCGCTTGTCCGAGCTCTCCATCCTGGGCAGCGGCCAGCATGGGGACCCTCTCCGGCCGGGCGTTCGGAGCTGACCTTCCCGCGGGCTGCAGAGAGCGTTTCGGTTGCATCTGGCAGCTCCTCACCGGCCATCTCCTGCCCCGGGGATGCTGCAGCGGAGCAGAAACGCGGGCCTTTCCGGCGGTCAGAATAGTTCTCTTCCCCCCTCCGAAGGCATCCCGGAGTGGCCTCCTTTCTTGGGGAGCACTGTGGGGGACACCCAGGGAGCGCGCCCCTCGTCCTCTTCTCCCACGTTGTCTTGGGCGGCTGGGCCGGCCCAACACCGACTTTCATTATTACCGTCCCCCCCTCCCTAACACGCACACTCTGCACCCCTCCAGCCCCCGCCCCCAAGAGCCAGCGCGGCTTTAACATTAAACAAACGCAGCGGCGAGCGCCTCTGAGCCGCGCTCCCGGCCGAGCTTGCGCGGCGGCGGCATTGGCGGCGGCGTTACAAATTGTAAATTTAAATTGCTCGCCGGATTCATTACCTCCCCTCTTTGATTTCAGCCAGCCGTGAAAAATTATACTGGTGTACCACTGAGAAACTGTTTTGCCGCAAAGAGCCCGCGCCTAATCACTGGCTTTCTCCCTCCGACAAAAGTGTAATTATTTTGTTTGGGGTGTAAATATCGGCCGCGCGGCGCACACACACTCAGCGCCCTGCCGCGCCGCGCCGCCGCGCCCGGCCCGCCGCCGGGATCGGCCCCGCAGCCGCAGCCCGAGCGGGCGCGGACCTGCCGCCCCGAGGCCCGAGAAGAGCGGCGGCTTTGAGGCCATGCGGCGAGACCTGGAGAACCGAGCCCACAGGCTGGGTCCCCAGCCCCTGCCGCAGGGAGTTCGGGTTTGGCCGAGGACCACTGACCCTGTGTGCGCGCAGGCTGGCCGGGGAGACGCCGGCGAGACGCGATGGCGAGGCCCAGAGCATCCCCGCAGCAGCGAGGGCCTGGGGTGGGGGGTCAGGGGATGGGGATGGCAGTGGAGTGAGGATGGGTGAGTGTCCGGAATCCCGGAGGGGGTGGCCAGCTGGGGGCAGCCCTGAGTCCAGGCAGGGAGAGTGTCCGGGCTTGGGCGACCTCAAGAGGGACAGGGCAGAGGCAGAACCCCATGGTCTTGGGTTCTGGGAGGCAGTGGCCACGGGGCCGGCGTGTCGCCTCGCGCTCTGGCTGAATTATGCACTGCTTAATTAAGGGTCTCTTTCGCTGGGCACACCCGACCTGGGACATTTAATCAAATAGGCAGGGAATCTATCCATGTCCTCCCGATGGAGAGATTCAACAATGGCAAAGCTTACCTCCTCCCCAAGTTCCCCTCTAAGCACGGGGAAGGGGGACTCGGTGTCCAAACGCCACTCCAGTCCAATATCTGGGCTGGGTCTTGAAGGTTCTGTGGGGTGTGAGTTGGCAGGGGTCCACGGACACTGTCGGAGCCAGGTGGTTTTGGGACAGGACAGGGTGGAGGTGGGGCGGGAGCCCGAAGGCTGTGGTCAGCTTTCCACAG